GAGAGAGAGAGAGAGGGGGGGGGAGAGAGAGAGAGAGAGAGAGAGAGAGAGAGAGAGAGAGAGAGAGAGAGATGGGACCACGGAATACACCTTGTGCTTCAGTGGCCCAAGGTGAGAATCGGGAAAAAGTCGTTCACAACGGAAACAGGCACATCGCCATGGCTTCAAGACGACACCGAGGCGCAGCACACCACAGTGTGGTGAAGACTGCTTGTTCCTGTTCCTCATTATATAGGACCCTCCCTCTCCGACGTCCTTCACAGTTTCCCAAAGACCCGTAAACAACCCGTGAGATTGAAAATAGACATCCAACGACATCTAACTTGACGACTTAACCGACGAGGAGGTCAACCCCCCTCCCACACACACAATTGTGTTGAAATACCGACCATCTAAGTGGAGGAGGACGTGACTGGCCCAGTTGAAGCCATCGAAGAAGAACCTACACCCTACAGGGCCTACACCAACATATGATGCAGACCTGGCTGATATTCAACCTCGCAACATCCGAATGCACCGCTGCAAAGCCACTTCGGAACGTAATCGCAATACCTCAACGAATGATGCTGGAAGAAAAATTAACTTCAATCCTCAAATCTGCAATGCTAGATCAGAATGCAGCCCCTCATATAATCCGTCCCCTCTCATGTCAACGGCTCCGATCCGTCGCAGCGTCGCCCTCGCACTGCAATGTGAATATTCCGTGCATCCCTCCCTCCATTTTCCCACCCCATCCCCAATCCTCTGTCGATGTGCTCGTCGTCACACCATATGTTGGTTGGTCAACGGCTCAACCTGTTTGCCCTGTTTGCCCACCCCATGATCTACCTACTACAACAATTCGGACGGCGAAGTCAGGTAACTATTACCTGCTCGTTGTCCTACTGACTAACGCTAGGTTACAACCAGATTCCATGCCTCGGTCTGAGTGAGTCAAGCTTGATGTCTGATTTAAAACGGGCAAACATAAGCATTACGCATCCATTGCGAGCGACTCCGAGCGACTCGGAGCCGAGTCGAGCGCTATATATATACCTTAACAGTTAAAAGTTTAAACCTCCCAGGTAAATGTGAATTGTGTGGTCCGTGATTTTGACTCCCGACTCGTGTGAATTGTCTGTTCGACTGTTCGACAGACAGACAGACAGACAGACAGGCATTCAAGATTAACAAGGGGAAGAAGGAAGATGGAAGCGCAGGACGTGGAAAAGACTCTTTTTCAACGAGTCTTCATACTACCTTCCTATTATACAGAGGAATAATGCGTATTCCAAAACACAACATGGCAGGGCATACTCACACTCCGGGTGGAATAGTGGCCAGATACATCCAGGTTTGGCCGTAAATGTGGTGACATACAGTTCAGATATTGCTATTGTGAGTACGATCTCATTCTAGAAGCACCTCATCCGGACTTTATACGGACAGAGGACACTATCTGGACTTCATACGGACAGAGGTCAAATTACTAGAAGATCAAACTCCACGTCATCCGGACTTTATATACGGACAAAGGACGACACCTCACAAAAACTCCGTGCATCAAGGCAGATGTTCCTGAGGGGGCAGATATTCCTGAGGGAGGGTTCAAATACAAGTCATGACTAGCCAACAGAGACTGTTAATTACCACAGGTCGAAGTGTTCACATCCAAGATCCACATAGACCCAACAACCCGAGATCAATACCGATCCAACGATCCATACAGATCCAACGATCCGAGATCCAAACAGATCCAACGATTCGAAATCCAAACAGATCCAACGATTCGCGATCCAAACAGATCCAAAGAACCGAGAGCAATACCGATCCAACGATCCGAGATCAATACCGATCGAACAATCCGAGATCAACACTGATCCAACGATCCGAGATCAACAATACTGATCCACGATCCGAGATCAACACAGGTCCGTACGACCAGAGATCAAGATCAATACCGATCCAACGATCCGAGAGCCATACCGATCCAACGATCCGAGATCAACACCGATCCAACGATCCGAGATCAACAATACTGATCCAACGATCCGAGATCAATACAGATCCGTACGACCAGAGATCAAGATCAATACCAATCCAATGATCCGAGAGCCATACCGATCCAACAATCCGAGATCAATACAGATCGTACAATCCGAGATCGATACCGATCCAACGATCCGAGATCAATACAGATCCTACGATCTGAGATCGGTAAGGATCCGTCGATCTGAGATCAACAAGATCCAACCGATCACGACAACTGGATAGACAGGTGTATGCTGTATCCAGTTATGCCATCGTATCACCTCAGAAGCCATCACATGGGAACCCAATGAACCGCTGGAAGCCTTTTCACTTTACATTACCATCGCTGCATCGCCCATTCTGAGACACATGCAGCTCCGTCGACGTCGTCAATCTGATGTCACCGGTCCATACTCGACACTGTCGACGGCGAACCCTCGCCCTGTTGCCATTCCTCAAGATTTATTGCCCATTTTGCACTCCGAAGAAGGTTACAAGGGAAGCACACACCTTTTCTTTCTCTCTCCCAAGCACAAGGCACAAGGGAGTAACCAACCAGAGAAGGCGGCACCACTTCTTTCTGTCCAAGTAGTAGATGGTCAAGATAACCCGCAGCGTATTTTCTGACATGATGATCACTCTGCTCTCATCACACAGTCGAATCAGTCGATCAATCCAATCAGCAGAGACACGGACAGCAAAGTCAGTCGTTTTTTCATCAAAACTGACACCAGCAATGAGCAGCCACCAGCCTGAAACAGTGAAAGAGACACCATAGCCACAACCACCATTCATCAGCCACCACATCCCGAGCGTGGTACAGCCCAAGTCTTAGAGATACATCGCATGAGGAGAGCATCTGTTTAACTGCGACCAGATTCAGAATTCGACTTCAGGAGACGGAGAGGAACAAGGAAAGAGCATTCAAAACTTTCAATGCAATGGGTACCATGCCACGAAAGGTACGCTGCTACTACGGCAAGGTACAGCAACATCACTTAAAAAGTAATAATAGAATTGGAAAAGAAAAAGAAGATGCACCTGGCCCACATAAGCGAGTAGGGAGCATTCATAAATTTCAGTTACACGTCGATTTAAAAATCAGTTCCAACTGTTTTCAACAGTATAACGACACGAAAGGTACGGCAACGAAAGGTACGGCAAGGTACGGCAACATCACTTCAAACTTCCAAGTAATAGAATTGGAAAAGAAAAAGAATATGCACCTGCCCACATACATGAGTAAGGAGCATTCATAAATTTCAGTTAAATTTCAGGTCAACTGCATAACGGCACGAAAGGTACGGCAAGGTATGGCAACATGACTTCAAAGTAATGGAATTGGAAAAGAGAAAGAAGATGCACCTGCCCCCATAAGTGAGTCAGGAGCATTCAAAATTTCCAATGCAACAGTAGTAGGGGCGATACGAAGACACACAAGTGGATATGACTGAGTGGAAACACCGAGCCGAAAGGGAGGGAACCCGATAGGTACAATCATCATCGATAACGGACTACAATCTTCCCAACTATGACTGTATCAGACCGGAAAGATAGGCTGCATACTTCCATGTTAAGGGTGCATTTGATTGTACAGAGAACCTGGAGGGCCTGGACAGACCCCTTTTCCTCCTCTGCATGGCAACTATCACTATGATTTATCCGTGAATATAACAAGGGGCTCGATTAGAGCAGACGCTTCGCGTCCGAATCCCACGCGTCTAAATCCCACGCATTGGAACCGAACGACGCATTATTACATCCGCTTTCGCAGATGATTTTCTAGTAGCAATCTGTGGTCCACGATCAGAAGCTACTGGAAACTGAGCCCACGAGAGAAAGAGAAAGGACTCTGCCAGATTCAAGGTGCGGCACGAGCCGGTCCTCACAATAAAAGGATATATATTGTCACAAAATATCAGAGCGCAAATGCGGAAAAAAAAGGGGAAAAAAAGAAGAAGAGAAGAAAAGAAGATTAAATTCAATTTTTTATATATTTCCTTATAACTCCCCCTGTTCAGAACCTCTTGCGTACAAGGCCACCCACGTGGATGTAGGTTGAGCGACGGCTGCCCCCACCCCCGTGTTTCATGTTGACCCACTTGCACACAGCCGAAAGGCAAAGAGGCAAAGAAAAGAGGAAGGGAACAGCCAAAGATATATATATATTCGCTTTTGGGGAAAACTAGGGCGTAGTCGAGGTTTGCAGTTTTCAACTTTTAAGTGCGTTTCAGTCATGGTTTAACAGAATTCTGTTAAAAAATCGTGGATGTATCCAGCCCAGCGTTAGGATTGGGTGGGGATGTGTTGTATTCGAGGGATGCCGGAAGTGGACTTTATAGAACTGAAAACCTAACTGCGCCATAGTTACCCCTTGTTTTTTTTGTTTTTTTTTTTTTCACATACGGATATATTTGTACCCCATCACTTGGTGGCAAACGAGGACGATGACCCGCTCACGCTCATCCTCACCGTCAACAGGATTAAAAAAAAAAAAAAAAAAAAAAAAACTGTCATCAACGATGAAAGTACTTGTATTCTTGACGAGTGCTGTTATGAACGATGAAAGAAATTGTATTCTTGATGAAGAGTCATAATCCTGTGGAGTCGAGGATTACCCCTCAGCTAGCTAACACCAAGGATAGAGGAGCAAGCATAACCCTCTGCCAGGTGCTCAGTGCCATGTGTCAAACAGAATCAAGTAGTCCCATTATTCATAAAAATAAACGACGAGAAAGTGAGAAGTACTTGCATTCCTGATGAATAAAAAAACACTCGTCGCATCATAATAAAGTAGTCCTACCTGTATTCCAATTGAAATCAATCTTAAAATCAAATCGTAATAAAGTACCCGCAATAGATTGTCACACAATTAATCGGAGCGAGAGCGCAAAGGCGGAAAAAGACAAAACAAGAAAAGAAACCCTCATATTGTCACACTATAAATATATATACATATAAATGACTACTTGTATTCCTGACAGGCTACTTGTATTCCTGAAGAAGACAGAAATCAGTCGACGTAATCCTATGGGATCCGATTACTGCTGCTAATAGCACGCGGACAAAGGRGCAACCACAACCCTCTGTGGGTCGTGATCGGTGTCACGATTCAGACGGAATGAACTTCAATGACGTCGTCAAAAGACAAAACTATTATTATTATTACTTAAATGACACCACAGAAGAGCAAACATGTCACCCATGGCCGCTCGCCGAAAAGACAAACAAGGATGCCAGTACAGCAGCAAAACAGATACAGGCATTTTCTTCAAAAAGAGAAGCAAAAGAAAAATGAAAAAACACCCTGATGTCCTTCAGGACATCCGTTAACATTGGAACGATACAGAGTATGAAGAGTAGCATGGCCCCCTGCGCTTTCAAGGATCACGCACAAATCGAGAAATGGTCCAAAACACACCCTGATGACACACACACACACACACACAACAGCCCTGCTATAGTATGACAAACGACCTGCAATGAACGTAATGGACACCACACTGAATCAATGCAGCATCGTTCCTTCTACCAAGACCTCACATCATCAGGACACGGGCCAGACTCGACTGAAACACATCCCCAAAAAAAAAAACCGGAGGGAGTACTAGATGTCATGTACATCATCATCATACCTTTCAAGACCTCGTCACATCACCACAAGGACATAAGCACATCCTTTCCGCTCCTTGAGACACATCGAACGGCATCTGCATCTGCTCCCCACCAGCAAAGGACAATGTCGGTCGCCCGCTCGGCCCTCGAAACACAACGACCAGTAGTAGGAAGACGACGACCAGAAGAAGAACGGCAATGACTGCGACCATGACCGCACCTTCCTTTTCTTCCCGACTGTACGCTCGCTTCGTCTTCACGACCTCACCCTCCCTCGTCGTGTCCGCTTGAGTCTCATCAGATGATGATGATGATGGCATTTCATACGGCCCTGCTATTCTCCGCCGCGTACGAACATACAAGTCCAGCCACTCCCGGCAGGCAAGTTGTGCCACCTCTCCTCCTCTCGACTTCAGTTCCTCCACACCCAGGCTTGCTCCAATCCTCTCAGGTCGAATTCCAAGCGCCTCTGTTCTTGCACTCAAGGTTTCCACTGCCCGTGCAAGGTTCTCCCTACCCACGTTCCTAGCCTGGTACAATCCCTGATACCCAGCAGCTCCAGCCTGCAGTAGCCCATGATACCCAACCGTCTTCGCGTGCTGGATTCCATGCTGTGCATATTCCAAGCCTACCCCTCCTCTCCTTCTCAATTCCGCATTATCAATCCTCGACTTCACATGATTAACCCTCGACTTAACATGATTAACCCTAGACTTAACATGATTGGCAATTTCAGCAGTGGTGGATCTCCAGTCCCTTTCAGCAAGCCCGGCCGCTGCACTCGTGATGCCAGCAGCGGTCGCACGCCAGTCCCTCCCTGCCAGGCCTGCTGCTACATTCGTTATTCCACCGGTGGTGGTCCACTCCCTCCTAGCAAGGCCCGCTGCTGCAGCTTCCTTGCCCGTTTTGATTCCTTGCCAAGCCTGTCGAACGGTCTGCTGGCCCCGAACCTTCGCTTCTTGCAATCCATAGGCTGCATACCGGAGACCCTGCTCACTCAAAACCTCCCTCCATTTGCCCAATGCCGCAAAAGCATTCTGCGTGTCCACAGCAGGCCAGCTTGTGCTGGTGCTGGTGCTGGTGCTGGCAACGGCCCCTCTTCCATCTGCCGCAGCCATATGTGCACCCCCCAAGTGTGGAATTCTCCCACCACCACCGTTGGTGCGCAGTGCTTCTACCACCTCCTGCAGCTTCCGCTGCCCCAGAGTCCTTGCCTCCACTAACCCATGATAAGCATATCTCAACCCCTGCTCTCCCCTCTCCTTCCACCCGTTCGTTGCTGGCGATACTCTGATCGGTTCCTCATCCACGATCGTCGATTTGATGAAGCTATCTCCGCTTGCGCTTCGTTGATCTCTTCTTCTCGTTGTCCTGTTCCATCCCTCTGGTCTATACCCTTGTGTTTCCTGCGGAATCAATTCATTCAATCCCAGACTTGCGTCCACGTTCATTCTCGGTACTAGTATAGAGTTGTCTCTTCTTGGTGGGAGTGGAGGTGGTGGTGGTGTGGACCCTAGCATCATCTGCCAGGCAACCGGCTTCTCTGGCGTACTGCTTGTCGGAGTCCACTTGCCGCCGGTCAGGATGCTCGGGATCCCGTTCCCCTCGTCGTGGATTTCATACTTGTCCTTCACGGGAGTCAATCTCTCTGCTGTAGCCTTCCCAACGGGAGTCAATCTCTCTGCTGCAGCCTTCCCAACGGGAGTCGATCTCTCTGCTGCAGCCTTCCCAGAAGACGTGGACCTGTCCATGCTCGCACTCAACAACTGCATCTGCAATTCTTCAAAGGAGGAAGACGACTCGAAATCGTCGTCTAGATCAAAGGTATCACTATGTAAGAGCACCGCTGGCAGGACCACGTCTTCATCGTCGTCTTCTTCATTCTCCAACCAACCACCTTCTGATTCATTATCAGAATCATAATACTCTCGCTTCGCTCTTTCCAACTGGTACGGAGACGACTCCTCTATCCCATCGTACACATCAACTGGAACGTTCGGACGCATGTCGCTATCCATTGCCCAACCTTTTCCAGCATTCGACGACTTCCCGGTTGATCCGTGAATGGGGGTTTCATAATAAGAACTAAAAATAGAATCCCCATTGGCTTCCACCTTGGCTGTGGCAACAGGAAACGACAACGATCGCGCTCCCACCTCCCTCTCCACTACTTCAACAACTCCAGCACTTCTGCCCAACGACAGAGACTTGGGATACAACTTCTTACCATCCTCCGTTTGAGCAGCAGCATCTACAAAAGGAGGAGCAGCACCTACAATTCCCTCATCTTTTTCCTCCTCCTCGTCATCGTCGATCTCCACCACTTCCTCCTCTTCCTCCTCCTCCTCTTCCACTACCAATCCAAACAGACCTCCTCCTCCTCCTCCTCCTCCTCCTCCTCCTCCTCTCGCACCTCTTGCATTGTTAGAATTCGCAGCTGCTGCTGCCGCTGTATCACGCACCAGCATGACCGACGGCAGCTTCTTTCTAGCCTCCTCCTCAGAAGGGGAGGACAAACTCGGCGGCGCTGACGTGCCCACAGATCGTGCTGCCAAAGCAGCCGCCGCATTGATTCCTGTACCAACACCACCTTCAAGCAATCCTCCAGCAGGATGAAATTCCAACTCCTTGCCAACACCGTCTTCCGGATGAGATCGTGTTAATCCATAACAGTCTGCATCGGCTCCAAACGAAGGCAACGCACTGACCTCCTCTTCTCCTTCCTCTTCTCCTTCCTCTTCTCCTTCCTCTGCGTCGCTCCCTTCTTCAAGCACATCTTCTACAACTTCAGCAGCCGTTTGGATTTGCCTATCACTTCGATCGAGATCGGGATCGAGATCACCATTTCCATTTCCAAAAGGTACAATTTCACGGACGTCGTCCTTGTACGGTGACGTCCCTTCGCTTACAAAAGCCATTGTCTCCGCTGATGACGCAACGTTGTTCCCTCCCAAAACATCCCCCTTTTCCACTTCGACTGCCTGTCCTGGTGCATCGGACACCACTTCCCTCGTCGCAACCCCCTCTGCCTCTCCTGACGATTCCTCCTGCTGCTGCTTCACTTCCCGCTCTTTCTCCTGCACTACAGCTGGCTTCCCTCCCATCTCCACCTGTTCCTCCACAGCGTCAATACGCAGCTCATCGCCACCCTCATTCGATTGCCTACTGTCTCCCCTCACTCCTTCGCTTCCTGCTGCCCCTCCCTCCTTCGCCTCCCTACTCTCTCCCTCCGCTACACTATCCTGTGCCGCACTTTCGTTCCCAAGCTGCACGCCATGATCCCCTTCTTCCATCCCCGGTGGTGCAGTCTCCACGACGCTTGTGCTCTCAGCGTCACCCTCCTGCTCACTCTGTGGACTAATTACTAGATCTTCCTTCTGCTCACTCTGACTAATTACTACATCCTTTTCTTCTGATGGCTCAATCTTGACCTCTACCTCCTCATGACTAATTACTCTGACCGCAACCTCAGCCACTTGATGAACCTGGACTCCTTCTCCGTCTGCAGACACTGCCTGCGAATCGCGTGTGGCTACTGCCTTTTCTTCGGGTGCCGAACCACCTACCTCTCCCTCTCCTCCTAATACCCCCTCCTCCGGGGCAACACCCTCTGCTGCCATCTCTTTCTCTAACAATCCTGCCGGTGCAACACCCTCTGCTGCTCTCTCTTCCTCTACCACTCCTGCTCCTCCTACGCCCTCCTCCGGGCCACCAACCTCTGCTGCTCTCTCTTCCTCTACCGCTCCTGCTCCTCCTACGCCCTCCTCCGTGCCACCAACCTCTGCTGCTATCTCTTCCTCTACCACTCCTGCTCCTACGCCCTCCTCCGGGCCACCAACCTCTGCTGCTATCTCTTCCCCTACCGCTACTGCCTTTTCTTCGGGTGCCGAACCACCTACCTCTCCCTCTCCTCCTACGCTCTCCTCCGGGGCAACCACCTCTGCTGCTATCTCTTCCTCTATCACTCCTGATCCCACCCCGTCCGGGGGTGGAACAACCTCCTCCCCCTCCAGAACTTGCTCCTCTCCTCCTACATTCACATCAACCGCCTGACTTCTATCGACTTCGCCTCCAGCCACGGCGCTCTCCTCCCCATCTTCTACATTCTCAATTCCCTCTGCACGTCTTGTGCACCCTTCCCTTTCCACTCCCCTAAGCTCAGATCCCAATGGTCCCGACGTTGTCCCGTCCTCTGTATCGGGTCCGGAATGCAGCAAAGAGCTTGGCTCGGCGTGACTCTCCGACTCTAACAAATCAGAAGAGCTCGGCTCGAACGCTTGTGAGGGAGAAAGGGATCTGTCATTCTCCTCCTCCTGGGATGACTCCATATCCATGAACCGCAGGCCCTCCTTGACTTCTCCTTTATCCTCTTCCCGAATCACCTCCACACTTTCACCCATGGTGGCTGCACTTACCTCTAACGCATCCAAACACGCATCCGATTCGAATGCATGAGGTGGGGGGGAGCTAGATCTGTCGTCCTCGCCCTCGTCAATCATTTCTACTGCCTGCTCCGTGAGATAGTCCACAGAATCTTCCAGCATACTTGACTTCTTATCAGATGATGTCCTCTCATCGTCCGCGTGCACTGGCTTGAGCAACGAGGGTGCAATTTTCTCCTCTTCCTTTTCAATAGCGTCTGCCACCATGGAGCCTGTTTCAACCAAAAATTTCATCAAGATCACCAAAAAAAAAAAAAAAAAAAAAAAAAAA